ACTTACAACTAGCTACCTAAAAAAAAGGGGTGGGCATGAGCCTAGGCAGTATTCAGTATTGCACAATCCCGCCTGCCTTGCAAGACCCGGTTTTGCAAACCCGAGTGCGGTTTAGGGTTTCGAGTTGTAGCGTTCAGGGTATAGGGTTTTACGGTGTTATGCCCAAACCCACGAAACCCTGAAGCCTAAACCCTAACTCGAAGCCTTGTCTGCTAGGACTGCATAGCCCTGCTCCAAAAATAGCTAGGTTGTTCAAAGAATTAGTATAGGGTTCAGGGTTTAGGGTGTATGGTTCTGGTGTCATATTTTTGTACAGTCTTAGTAAGCATCCCTAAGCAGTAATGTTGAGTCCATCAAACGTCGCCTGAAAGCTCCAATGTATTCAAGTGTCGGCAAACAGATCATGCCTGAAAGCAAAATCACCCTGAGCCCTAACCTCCTAAACCGGAGACCTAGTAACAGGGTGCAGACACCTATATCTTGAGCCCAACAAAAACTATCAGCTCCCGCAAGGCCGGGCGTGCTGTTTCCGACAAATAACTTATAAACATAGATGTGTAAGTGTATATATATGAGCATTGATCTAAAGGTCCTTGTGTGGGGATTGTAAAAACGGTTTTAACATGTGAAATAGAGTGTCCGCGAAAGATCTGCGATGGGTCCGCGAAAGGAAAACAATCATGCGCGAAAGTTGTTGTGTAATAGATTTGGGCCGTATAGGACTTCTAAGGTATATGCTGTACAAGTCCGTAGGCATACAGGTCGCAAACTCGCTGTCCCACCATGCCGCGACGCAATATACCCAAAGCCTGATCGCCCGGCTGCCAGTCCACAAATTGTGGGATGTGGTGGGGGAGTTGGGCATGGTCATGCCTTTCATTCAGGCCCTCTGCGCTTCAAGGATTGGTCTTTCCGAGGTACACTTACACGCAGCATCAACGGTCAGAAGGTATCATTTTTGTGTAATCATGCAGGGTTAAGCGCGAAAGATCCGATAAAGTTGCGCGAAAGACGCCGCGAAAGAAACCCCGTCGCTTGAAGGCCATGGCACATGCCATGGCCCACGACTTGGCGTCGGCCTTTGCAGCCTAGCTACTGCTACTGCTACTGCTACTACTACTACTACTACTACTACTACTACTGCTACTGCTACTGTCTGCTACTGTCTGCTACTGCTACTGCTACTGCTACTGCGACTGCGACTGGTACTGCTACTACCGGTACCACGACTACTACTACCACCACTACTACTACTACTACTACTGCTACTACTACTACTACTACTACTACTACTACTGTACTACTACTACTACTACTACTACTACTACTAATGCTACTGCTACTACTTCTGCTACTACTACTAGTACTACTACTACTACTACTACTACTACTACTACTACTACTCCTACTACTAGTACTACTACTACGACTACTACGAC